TTGTTGTTGTTGTTGTCGTCGTTCACGTCCTTGTGGTTGTTGCTGTGCTTCTGTTGGTGGTGGGCGGACGGGGTATCGGTTCGGGGGGCAATCGTACAACCCCCGATGAACTCGGACTCATCGGACGGAGGGAGCGAAGGAGAAGGAGTCGGCTCTTGGGCGATGGTGGTGTCGAGAGGTTCCTCGAGGTATGGGAAGACTGCAAGGGGTTAGCAAGTTTGGGAGATGAAGATGGAGACAATGGAGACGATGGAAACGGTGACGATGAAGATGATAGTTCTTGATGGCTGGATAGTAGTGGACAGCTATGATTGACGATGATGGTAGATATTGATGGAAAAGACGGCCGAAGACGATGATGGAAAATGATGATGATAGGCGATGGATGGCCAGAGGATCGATAACTGGAAGATGTATCATGGCCAAATGGAGTAGGATGAACACGATGATAGAATGAACACGATGACAATCGAGCAAGAGGAGATTGCAGGAAGTGGGAAAGGGGCAGTTACAATAGAAGAAAGAAAACGAACAGAACATACCTTTATCACACATCTCCTTCTCATTAAGAATTTTACGCCGACATTTCCGCGGCCTCTTTGAGGTGCGGCGTTCGCCAGACGCCTCCACCTCCGCCTTCCGCTTGTAGTAAGTGGTAGTCTCAAACTCGTCGTCGGGCCTGCGATGGGTCTTCTTCACTACCGTACGCTTTACCGCTGGAGTAGTGCCGTCTTTACGGGGTCTTCCCCGTCCTCGCTTCGGGATGGGCTTTGGGGTTTCCTCGACGGCGTCGTTGTTGGTAGGTTGGACGGCCAAGTTGTCGTCAATAGGGAGGTCTTCTCTGTCGGACATTGTATTCTAAAGATGAGAGTGGTGGATGATGATAAGTAAGAACCTGAAGATTAGCAAGTTCAAAGAGATGATGGGACATGCTTGTAGACTGTTAGGTTATGGGAAGAGAATGAGAGAATGAAGAGGATGAGAGGAAGAGAAGAGGGGGAGGGAAAGATATAGGATCGCAAAGCAGTCGTTATGGAATAGATCATGCAAGCTCTTGCCATCAGCGGGCATTTTTTTCACCATCTACATCAATTTTGGTGTGCAGCTTTGGTCGCTTGATACTGCTTTGCATCTTCTGGTATTTCTGAATTTCCACGCCGCTGCAATCTTCGGGAGCTGGCCCTAACAGCACGGTGCTCTCCCTCTGGTATAGACCATGGCGTGCCTTGTGCTCGAGGTAGTAGACCGTGGCAGTAACTGGTTACTGGCCGGTACTTCTGTTGAATAAGGTATTCTGGGGCTGCATCTTTGGAACGTGCTCGTCTTCAGATTCCGATGTCTGATGGGAAGCGCGTTGTTGCGAGTTGGTGGCGAGGCCAGCAGAGACCGGCGCTCGATGCAGAGGTTCGTGTGTTTTTTGAGGCATGACGTGGGAATCTGAGTGTGGCGGGTCTGCGGTAGCAAGATAATAAGCTGCCTTGCTCGATGTGCAGAGATCGAGAGAAGATGGGAGACGCTGTCAGTGAGAAAACCACCTCATGCTTGAGCCTGTGGAGGTATGGAGCTTGCCGGTAAGCACAGAAGGCGAAGGAAAGCGGATATCGACGACGACGAAGGTACCTAGGTACCTGTGCTTAGAACTGAGGAGACAATGGAGACCGATGGCCATGTGGGTTGGTAGATATCCAGTCCCTTACCAGGCCAAAGGGCTCACGACAGACAAGCACTCTGGACACCTGGTAACAGGTGACGATGCTCCTTCCTCCAGGGGGCTCTCCTCCGTCGATAGCGACACGCCTCCAGCTGACGCGCTCCCATGAATTCCCCTATCCCTATATCCCTGGAGCTTCATCCCCACACCGAGGATCGGCCCATAACTGGGAAAGAACTCCTGTTCCTGAAATGCGGTAGGCGGAGCACCCAGGTATCGAGGAGGCACGACTTGCAGGCGGCACCTTACTGGCGGCATCTCATTCGGCAGTCTCGCACTGACGAGACATAATACCGGGATGCTACAGCAGCACACATGGCCGTTCTTTCCTCTTCGATAGCACAGCAAGGCATTGCCAAGAATACCAGACCAGGCTTAGAACCAGCATCAGAACCAGCACCGGTACCGGCTCCAAGACCAGTATCTTGGAGCGTGCCGAACTGGAGAAACGACAGCCTCCATTGAAACGCGGCATGCCCTTATTCAGACCACAAACATCATGCTCCAAACCATACCGATGCCTTACTACAGCAACAACAGCCAGCCTCGCGACAATTGGTTCCCTAGCCCAATGTTAGAATACAAGCGAGAGCACAAACAGCAGGACGACTTGTCTACCGGGCGGAAGGAACAATCATAGCATCCCGCCAGCGCATCCCATCAAAACTCTTTGAAGGCGTCGGACATGCCAATTGCCGTATCCGAACTCCCAGCGCCAGCCCGTGCCAACTTTGACAGAGCACCGGCAGGTGCAGCAACCCGGGCTTCATAGTACAGCAGCCTTACGAGAGGTTGTACACGGAGTTGTACCTCATAACACGCTCGCCAGCCATAAGTAGAGCACAAGACAGAGCTCGACCTGGAAGTTGCAGCACCGGAGGTCAGTACCCTTCTCTTCCGTCTAGACCGGCGAGTCGCGAGACTGCGACACAGACATGTCCTGAACATAGGAGAGGAGACTGGACCATGGACGTCCTGACACAGTAGCTCTTGATCTGCCACTCCAACCTTCCATGCCCTTTCCTCTCATGCCTTGAATAATCGGAACGAAAGCTGACGGTCGTGTGACAGAGGAGCGAGACCTTGCTCGGTCCGAAACACGATCGCGAAGACCAACGAGACAAGCGGGATGGGATGGAAGTAAAGCAAGAAACCAGCTGCCTGGGATAAGAATAACGAAAGATAAAAATAAAGAAAAGGTGGTAGAAAGGATGGGGGTAGAGGGAAATGCTGGTGATCTTGGACCAAACGGACGGCGACAGCGACATCGGCGGCGGCGACGATGACGACGACGAGCATTTTCCCGTGTTCCTGCATCCTATGTAGACGACAACGCGCTTGCGCAGCATCCTGGCACGACATCGCCGACGAGTACGGCGACTAGCCAACTTGTTGAGGAGGACGTGGACACATCGACGTAGGTGTGCCTGACTCAAATAACCAAGCATGGGTAAAAGGCAGACGACGACAGCTAGGCCGACAATGAAGGGGACGGCGTTGAAAGGGTTGACGAGCACCAGGACGGCGAGCACCAGGGCGACGAGTACCAGCAAGACGACGACCATAAGGACGATGACTAGGACAACGAGCACTTCCCCCGTGCACAGCTTCCTCGGGAGGCGACCATGTGCCTCCCGCAACATCTTCGGGGGATATCGTCGGCGATAACGGCGGCCAGCCGACTCAGGGGTGTCAACGTGAACCGGGACGAGCAATTCGCTAGCCGACGCAGGACTCGCAGCCTTGTCTAGCCTTGCTCAACCATACCAATTGTGAGCAATCCGTTTGGTTAAAGCGTGCCCAACTCGTACCGCCGGCAGCACCGGATTTGGGGATGGGAAGGATAGTAGACGACAGCAACAGCCTCAGCAAGGGCAACAGCAACCTGGTCAGCGTTGACGTTCGGCCTGCTTGGTTGGTAGGGTATGGTAACACTTGTTGTGCCTGCCTCTTCCCTACTGCTTGGGCTGCTCGGATTGTTCGGGGAGAAACAGGCCCTATGAACGAAATAGAGCAACGGGAAGGGGGATAGCAAAGAGAAGAAGAGACCCGACGAAAAGACAGGAAAAGAAAAAAAGAACGAGAAAGAGAACTATGAGACACGACAAGGTCATGAGCCGATAACATAACCTCGCGGACCCGGGGAGAAAAACTCGAGGGACAGGGACAAGACCTGGTAAGATCCATGCCATTAAGTTCCAACCCTCGAAATTCGTGCTAACGGAACTCTGTGCTCCAAGAGGGGAAAAAAAGAAAACGAGTTCAAGGAAATGTTGCCTCTACCTGAGAAGTTAACACTCAATCCCATGGCGATGAAGTCGCATTCTGTTTTAGTTGACAACGGCTGACCATTATTAGAAAACATCGATAGTCGAAAGCCAGGGCCGAAGGCGGATACTATAACTATTTTGCTGTCATTACCGGCTACCGAGTTCGGTTCCTGTTTCCTGATTTCCAAATCGATAGCGACCGGATCAAAAGGATGATACGCGCCCGCACAATGCGATGCCAGCAGATGAGCGATGGCGTTGTTAGAACAAACGGTGAGCCCGCAAGTCCCCGACCGCAATTTCCTATGTCAGAGCACGTTAGTTGTACGATGATAGAGATGAAAGTTCTGGCCATCCCTTCAAAGACGACAAAGTTGTCGTCCCATTCTCTCCAACGATAGCTCGGTTTACGGATCTTGTAAATCAGAGGAAGCCCTTTCTCCTCGCCTTCTTGTTCATTCTTGCCAGTGGTACCAGTCTCTGGCGAGCAAGTCCGAGTGGACCACTGGGGTATCTGGCGAAGTAGCAGATTCATGCCAGAACACCCATCGACCTCGGTAGTATTCAGGTATTAATTTTCGCCAAGCGCTAACCACGTCTCACAAGTTACGTGATCGTGCTTGGTCCTTTAACGACGACGCCCTGAAGGATGAGCGAGCGTAGAGCGGCCGTTGTTGCCCTTTGCGATCGCTATCATGAGGGCCATGATCCAATATGCCATGAGCATTAATCGATTGCAAGTGGGATGATGAGGTTGAACTATCCATCCATCCGGCACGATGCAATTCTCGCACTGTGTCCGTCAAGGACAGTTTCCTTCGTCGTCAAGATGATGACTCTCTTTCTTTTCCTTTTCCCAATCTGTTTCGGGTTTCGTTTGATTCCATGTGGCTATCGGGTTGCGTCAAGCGAGCAAGCCAGGGTACTACTCCTGTATAGTTGGGTCTCTGACGCGAACTGATCAACAAGGGGAGTCTAAGTCGTTCCAGACCACATATCGGCCTTGACAATGTTCATCAAACTCTTAACAAGCGTCGAGCATCTCTCGTGGGGTTGCTTGAACATCGTTAGATGTTGATGATGAAACACGGAGGGTGCCGTGATATGGCCGTTACGCTTGGTGTGGTGGCCATGATGAGCGTCATGATCCACCTATGAATGGGGATAAAGATGAAGACTCCAAGAGCGTGATAAGTCCTTTGGCAGCAACCCTTTGTGGCCAGGTTGGTGAGATAAGAATAACGTGAGTGAGCGAACGAGACATTGTTTGCTCATTCCGATGCAATGGCAAGTCGCCATCATCCACTTAGGAAGGACGATGAAGGTGAAAAGTCCAATGGAATAGGCAATAACTCTTCAGAGTCGGAGTGGTGAGATAAGAAATGGTGTGGATGCCTGAGCGAGCGAGTGAGCATCCCATGCTCATGTCAATGGCAATGATAATTCATCAATATCCATAATATGGACGTAGGCAACTACTCCGTACGCGTCATGAATTGTTCCAGAACTCAAACAACCCTCCGGAGTCGAGACGGTGTGATGAAGGAGCGAGGGAGTGACGCGCTGTCTGTTGGTCTTTCAACGACAACGGCGATGACGATGTCATCTTTCTCTGGAGGATGACTATGAAGATGAACAGTCAGAGAGCGGGATATATTGTTCGGCAGCCTCAAACAATCTTCCAGAGTCGCTTCGCAGCCGAGATGGTGAGATGAGGAATAAGTGCCCAAACTATAACCGCGACGATGAACTCGTCGGCTGTGACAGCAAACGCTTGCCTGTCCTTTAATGCTGTTGGTCGTAGTGCGGGTCACGTTCGGATCCCTCCTGCACCCCTTTCTCATGGTCTTTCTAATTTCTCTTGGCGGCTATCTTCAGGTACATAAGGGTGAGGACGAAGGCGAAGAGTCCAACGGCGGGATGGGACGCTCGAGAATCTCAAACAACCCCCTGGAGTCGAAGTGACGAGATGCTACTTCTCATCCGGAATGATAACTATCCAGAAAAAAACAGTGTCGCCAAGTGATATTGTTGCGATTCTGTTGGCAGCGAAGGACCGCCTGGTGAACAAGCGGAAAGAGAATGAAAGAGAAATAAAGGGGGGAAGAAAGGATTACTGGCGAGCTTCGGATTTATGCAGGTCGTGCAGCCATGATCCTAACTGAAGCAAACTTGGCTTGAGCGAAAAATATGCTGGTGTGTAGGGCAATATGAAAAATGCCCGATGGTCGTACATCGATTGGACAGGCTGCGTATGCCTTTTAGTGTAGTCGTTGGAGCTTCTGTTGCGATGCACATAAGCTCCGAAATAACGGGCTCGGTGGCTCGTATTGATCGGCTCGGTCTGCCCCTTTCTCTTGCATTGCTGTTGTTTTGGTTTTGGCTTTTGTTCTTGTTTTTCCATGTGTTGTTCTGATGACTCCTGCCTCCCTGTTGAGGCTCGGATTGGTGCTGTGGCCGTTTGGGGTTTTGATATCTTGAGCTTCGACAGAGCCCGGAAAATCCCCGGAGAGCTCAAATGTGCCCAAACATGCCAACCGGGCTAAGATAGAAGTGAACGGGAAAATGTTGAACCAGACAACAACGGTCATGGACGCTGGTACAATAAGAAAGTGCCACTCTCCTCTCTATCCCCTTTCAGAGCAGATTTGGCATCGCATTCTTGGCGTGGTAGCAGATATTTGCTCGCTCCAAAGTGAGTCGTTCCCTCAAGAGATAACTCTCTGCCGAGTGTTCACTAGATGCTGCGGGAAGTGTTGGTATCGACGCAATGGCGATCAGGGCGGTTAACAGCACTGTTGATTGACACCACGCCGAATCGCAATGCATAACGGGTAAGTTGGCACTCCCGTTGCTTGCCTCAGTTGCGCGCTAGACTTGCAAAATGAGCAGTGTTTGTGATGTGGCGCATGTGTCCAAGCACTCCAACAGTGTCGAGAATCCGAACTCCTTGCTTCGGGGATTGTTCCTTCAGATGCTTCTCGTCCAGTAATGCGCGACGAAGGGCGGTGTTGGTAAGAATATACATAGAGCCCCGTAACGAATGAACAGTATTCATTCTCCTTGCTTTCCCTGTAAAACATGGCGCTTCGTCCGAGCCATTACATGCGCACGCAGAATCGAAGAGTCTCCCCCAGAGCCGGAGTGCAATGGCTCAATTTGGAACTGTCCAACTATTGCGGGATAGCCTCTCTTCTCGAGACTGATGCGCCGATGTGGCCGATCCTGACAAGGCCTACAATGAGAAACTTCCATCAGGGATTGTCAGTCTTGGAGTACCCTGCCACCCCACCAACTAGCTCTCTGGAACACCGCGGGTGCTTTTGTCGCATTCTCATCATGCGAAGGGTGAATCGAGAATTGGACTCTCCTCTCTCAACATGTCTGCCGCATGACGCAGGTACCAAGCCGATTTGTAAGGAACAGTACGTCTCTGTCTAAGTCCTCCAAGACACTGACAACGGTGAAAGACCTTTGTACTAGAACCAGTCCATTGTAGAAGCCTCCACGCAAACGGTCGTACCTGGTTCAAATATTTCAGACACTCGTCGGCAACAGTCAAGAAGAGGCTTGACAAGGGATGGAAATGCATCACAGTCAGATCTTGCATCAGCCGACCAACCAGCTAGCACTGCCTCAGAGCTCAAGCGCTTCGTTCTCCAAATCAAATTCTGTTGAAAACATTGTAGTCCTCCTGGCGGAAGCCGTGCACCTTTGCCAGGAGCCTTGCAGGTGTGTCAGGAGCCTTGCAGGTGTGTCAGGAGCCTTGCAGCACTCCGAGAACGACGAAGAGCCACATAACGGAAATCCACAAAGTCCAACGAGATGTCGAGCTCAGTGCAGACTGATGATGCTGTGCTCTTCGAGTGTCCCCTGGAAAGGAAAGGCAATCGAGGTCGGGGATTTGAGTCTAGCCAAGATCTCCCCGGCATCCAGAGAGGTCCACGATGTGCAATAGCCCTGAGTTGAACAACGACTCGACGAAAATTTGCAACTGAAATGACACCAGTTCGTCAGTGTTGTCGAAAAGTGACAGAGTGACCGATATTGGCGATGGTTTTAGTTTGCAGCCCTGACGCATGGGAACCATATCCCATTCCCCAAAACTCTGGACAGCATGCAAGGAGAACATCGAGGGATGCGACAGCACCTTTGGGGGGGACAAGGCCCATCCCACTTTGACCCGTTCGTGTTTTTCTTCCAGCGCCCAAGCAAAAATGATCATCCACATTTGGGAGGTTTCCCCATGTAGTCAGACGGTGGCATATTGTTTCCGCCATTGCACCTCCAGTTGGACATGTCCGACGGCTCGGAGATACGCAGGCTCGACAAGATATTTCGGAAGACGAGAGCGGGTTGGCTGGAAGAGTTTTGGAGTACATATTCGGGAATGGTTGGGAAGTGATCAAAAACAGGTTGCTTCCAGGGCAGAACCACAAAGGTCTAGCGATCAGGAAAACTGTTCTTGGAAGTTTGTGGTGAACTTGACGATTTGATTGTTTGATCTGCTACGAGGAAATTAACTTCCATGGCCTGGTAACGGGGGAATATTTGTGGGAACATCTTACCAGTGATATACGTATAGGACACCACCTAGGGAATGGACTTGACAACCCCAGGTTCGGATTTTCGAGCGATCGGACACTGGTGTCCCGAACTATCACCAGCTAGCACCGTTACATTATCGCCATGTCAAGACCCGTGTCGTTCCTAGATGTTGTTTCCTGGAGATGGGTTCGTGTCGAGATAGCACCAACAAGGTGGTTTTTTTGGTAGTGGTCATTGGGCAACATGTTGGTGTCGTCGGCAGGACATGGCGAAGGTCAGCGAACGTGCGACGAGGTGCGCAACAATTTGCTAGAAACATGGTCTAGTGTACAATCTGTCCGTTCGGTCGGTAGACTGTCGAGGCTTGCGAGAAAATCATGCTGGCGCACAGGTGGTGTTTCCCATCCCCAATGTCGTCGACGACCTTGTCGTTCGTCATCTTCGTCCTTTCTTTTGCGATTTTTCCTTGAAATTTGCACGTGCGGTTGTCTCAAACGTTCGCGGGTTGTCTCGTGATGTGTCGTTACGATGTGGACAAAGTCGCTAGTGGGCGACTGTATTGTCGTTGCCGATATCATAATGCAAAAAAAATATTGTGTTTGTCGGGGTTCTGGGGGAAATGCAGTGGGGGAGAACAAAGGTCTGGTGCTGACCTGCGCGGGGGTGGGGGCGGGCCCTAGTAGTATTTATCATTCCTCGTGCCCGAGAAACACGTACAATGTTCTTTTCTATTGACTAAATTATGCACACCAGATGAGTTCAAGTTATGGAAGAAAGAAAACTCCCATAGTGATATGCAACCTCTCCTAGTTACCTTCGTGTTTTTTTTTCGCCACGAATTGTCACTTTTTTCTCGGACATGAACCTTCATGCGGGTTTCTTTTCCAACCCTAACCCCGCATCGGACTGCACTGTTACAAGTCCGGCCGATTATCTTCGAGACTTCCACTTCGCAGGCACAGCTGTCATCAGCGTATCAGCACTTAAACCTGCTTGATATCTTCAAAGAGAGAAATAAACAAAACCCGAAGTTACCTTAGGTGCGTATATGCAGTTGCCGTGAAATGAAGTGGACTGGTTTTGCCAGGTTCCGAAGACGACGACCGAAGGTACAGTCAAGCCCCCTGAAACTGCATACTCCCGGCACTGCATATACGCCAGTTTAGTGCATAGAATTTTGGCTGTCTGGAATCCCCTGCTCACCCCAATATTCGGGTCCTGGAACTGCATATATGCCACATGCTGCATAGAATTTTCCCAGTCTGGATCACATACAGTTTTAGGGGTTTCTACTCTACTACTCTTTAGAATCATTCAAGCTGGACATGTTTATCACCAATCAAGGCTACAGATTCACATTTCAGCTACGACAACTTTGGGGGAAAGGCTTGTTCAAAATATCCTTCAAATTCATCATCCTTTCAAATTCATCATTCGTCAATCCTAAGGTATATCAACTTGCGTCCTTCGCCCGTCCAGAAAGCGCCGTGCGCATGAAAGTTAAAAGAAGGAAAATCCACCCATCGCGTAACCGCACGAGAAAGCCATCCATCATAGAAGGTCTTCCCTTCTTAGCTGTCCTCCACAATCCACCACCATCGTGTATAGTTCATCCGTGTCATGTCATTAAACTCCGCGTGCGCTCCAGTCCCGCTCCACCTCGCCCTCTGTCTTTTCTTTCCTCCTTCTTGCGTCCGCATTTGCCATCGGCACCCGAGTAGTGTCATCGAAGGCAGGTGCCGTAGGCGGTACCGCACCATAACGTTCAGCCCATCCATCCACCCAACTTCGCGCGCTCGTCGCTCGCTTTTTGAACCCTTCGCCTCAAAATCAGATCAGCCCACCACCCAATCCCCTCCACTAGCAAACACACCGCCAGCTCTAGGCGTCGCAACCATCCTCGCATCCCACTTCCAGTCTCCCCTCCAATCTCCTCTTTCGCATCCCTCGCCACAGCAACAGAGGGCTGGACCGGGTCTCCAGCAGCATGCGTTGCCTTCGTTGTCGCTGCAGCAAGCGGTTGCGTCGCGATAGCAAGCAGAAATAGAAGCGGAAGCAGACTTAGTTGAGGAAAGGCAGTCTCTCTAAAAGGTCTTGCTAAACCCACAGTTGAGGCCGCAGCAGTTGAAGTGCTTGCCGATGGTCATCCAGCCGCCTCTGAGGCCGACTTCTTGCTCTTCGGCGGCGTTGTTGGGGTCTTGGACGTCGAAGATGGTGGTGGGTGGTTGAGCGGCGGGAGACATGGGGTTTGATCTCTGGAGCAGGGAATTAGCATACAGCTAAGTCAAATGCGCCTTCTTCTAGCAAATGTTCATCCTGTCGCGAGGAGCTGAACGCAGTTCGCGCGTGGTGCGATGGGATGAGTGTCTTGCTGAGTGGCGTGGTGGGAATTGGATTGGGAATTGGCGAACAGAAACTCACGGGTTGCTCAGAAATAACAGCAGCAGCGGGCGCCGCCGCTGGGAAGTTGTTCATCTGCGAGATCTCCATCGTTGGTTGCGCGTTGGTGGTGGTGGTGGTAGTAGCGACCATTTTGTTTCTGCTCCTCAGGAATAATTCAAAGTGGACGACGGGACGGCGCAAGAAATAATCGCAGGTCGTAAGTCGCAAGTCGCAGGTAAGGTAAGGTGTTCGGGTTGTAGGTGTCTAGAGGAAAGTTCGTAGACGCTCGTAGGTGTTTGTAGATGTTCGTGAGTAGCTGAGGCGACTGACTCGTTTCACAATCTGAGTGAGGTCTCGTTTATTAAGGTGGCTGGTCAAGGTAGGTAAGTCGTAAGATCAGGTCAGGTAGAGATAAAGGTCAGAGAAAGAGCAAGGTGACGACGGTATCGGCAGTTAGGTTCAAATAAAGTTTAAAGCTGCCCTGAGGAGGACTCCAGCGGCCCCAGTCCCCATTCACTCCAGCAGTCCCAGCAGTCCCAGCAGTCCCAGCAAACGAAACAGCGAAACAGGTACCCGCGTGCTACAAAAAGGTGGCGTAGACGTGCGCTTTCGTCGCAACATGGAGATGGCAAGGGCAATTTGCGAGCGGTCTGGACCGTTATCGTCACCAATGCACCACTGCTGGCCAAGGAAACTTTGTTGAACTTTATCGGCCACACGCCAGTGACGAAGTGACGATCCCCCGGACGGGATTGTTTGGTGAGTGGCCAGCGGAGCTGCACTGCCCCAATTGCGCCTGGGACCCTACACTTGGGGTTTCTTAAAACAAAATAGTCGGTACACAACGATTGAGGACAGCCAGTTCAGACCCCGATAAACAAGCGGAAAAGGCCGATTCAAGCTCACTATTGGAAAATTACTTCCTACCTACTTGTCTGGTAGCAATTCTTTAGTCTATCAGAGTTATTTGATTGTTGATATGGCGTCAAATGCTGATTCCGTCCAGCCGTACTTATTACTCAGTACGCATTAATCTGTCACAACCAACCTCGACTTCGTTTCCTTACGAGCGGCAAAAGTGGGGCGCCCCGGCCCTCTTTTCAAGCTTTCAGCTGATGTCTGTTTCATCCTGTTTTTGTTCGTTTATAACCACAACCAATCACATTCGGTCTTGCGAATAGTTTCGTGGAATCACCGAACGTGCATCACAGCCACCAAACAACCCTCATAGCCTTTACCGGAGAGCTTGCCCCTGCGTTATGCGTGCTGCTTTAGGGTGAGTGAGTTCTTACGCCACATCGACACCGACGACCACAACCGCCTCACTTGCATGAGCCTCTCGAAACTTGGGAGAACAAAGCATCGTATGTAGTCAAAACTGCTTCATTCCATGCTTGTCTGTCTATTCTCATATCTGCACTGTAGAGGAAAACCGCGTATACGGGTTCGCTTATGATTCTGATAGCTTATGATTCTGATACCAACACCAAAGGTCTTCTTCCTCTACCAATCCATTCCCGGCGCCACCAAAAAACATATAAGATCCCATGCATGTCCCATTTTCACCAAGCACATCATAAAATCTACGGAGAGTGTGGGCTGTATGTGTGTTGTGTGTTAGAGATAGGTAGGTAGGTAGATAATTCAGAAAAAAAAGTAAGATGTGTGTATTCGAGACCGTAACGTAACAATAGCACAATAGCTCATAAGCATCGATGGCTAGACATTACGGTTACCGTCATTAGAAAGAAATGTACAAGAAAATAGGGTTGATGGGGGATAAGGTAGCCAAAATTGGGGTATAAGATTCCATTCCGGGCAACTTTGGAGAGACCGAATGTATTTCCTTCGCTGATGTTTACGTTTATAGCTCTGATGGTTTACTCGTATCCAGCACCGCGCTGCCAGGGACTATCACCAGTAAGTTAGCCAACTGTACGTCTTCATCAACTTCTCAGTCACAATAGAAACTCACCTCGCGTTAGTGGTATGCGGCTTCTTTTCTGAAATCACCGAGTGAGGCGATGCTTGCCTTCTCGGCAGACTCGAAGCAGAATCCGTCATCGGACTCGGCGTTTGGATGCTTCCGCTTGGCCTGTGCCTCACAAACGGTTCGTCCTTCATGAGGGACGGGTCATTGCTCCAACGCCCGGAATGCCTGTTGGAATGGAAGTACGGGTTGCCCGTGTTGGAATCGGCCGTTCCCGGACGGTTCAGAGGGTTGCTGGGGCTCGACACCGCCGAGTCGTCATCCTCAAAGCTCAAGGGAGACTTGGTATAAAGCTTGCTCTCGCCACGCGCAGTAACACCCAGAGCCTCGAGTTCCGACTGCGTGTGCAGCTTCGGGTTCGACTTCATGAACGAGGTGCGGTCGTCGTTCATGAACTGGTAGCGAGTATCGGGGTTGTTGTGGAACAGAGTTATGGCGGTGGTGATGATAAGCATAAGAAGGAGGATCAAGCACACAATGGCGTTGGCGATCCAGAGAACCAAGCCCACTACACCGATAACCAAGGGCGGGAAGTCGAAAACATCCGTCAGAAGGAAGAGAAGGATGGCATTGAGGAAGTTCATGGCGCAAATGACAATGTTGAACGTGTTAGTGCTCTTGTCCATCCATGGGCGCATGACGGTAGCCGTAATGAGCGCCGCAGCCTCGATAATAAGAAGCGCGATAGCCTGGAGGGTGCCGTGGGCCTGAGCAAAGGCAATGAACATGCCCTTAATGACAATGTAGAAGAGGATAGGCAGGATGAAATAGTAGCCTGAAGCGCGGAACTGCACATACAGGAAACCCCACTTGTTCAGGGCCTGAGGGTCCGAGAACAAGATGTAGGCGGGGTTCCTATGAAGGGCAATCGAGCGGCGAGCAATCCGGATGACCTTCCAGGCGGCCCAGAGAAGGGTTGCCAGGAGACCAAAGAAGAAGAAGACGGCTAAGGCCACTTCCGCCGGAGAGTCTTTTTGGGTGAACTCCCACATGCACATGACAGTGACCTGCGGGAAACCAACAAGTCCAACTCTGTAAAGGATACCTAATGAACTGTTAGTACACGGAAAGACCAACATTGATGGCAAAGGCAACTCACCCTTGAGGACTGTAATCCAACCGGCACGGAACTCGGAGAAGGCATCACCCTTGACCCAGCCCATCTTGGCAAAGAGCTCAAGTCCAAGCTTGAACAGGATAACCAGGATAGCAGTGAAGACCACAAAGATATAGAAGAAGGTCAAACTGGTCATGAACAAGTTGGTTGACTCGATATTACCGCGGAACGCAACTCGCTGAATACCGTAGACGATATAACTGCCGAAAGAAGTCTGGATGTTGGCTCGCTTTGCGATTCTGCCGCCGACCTGGGCTGCGGCACGAGGCAGCATGGCGGTCGCTCGTTTGAAAAGGTTGATAGCGGGATCAACGTACTCAGCCGGTAGCGCACGCTTTACCTTTTCGACCTGGACAGACACGGTCTCGAGCGAGTTAAGCACGGTGGACGCGGTACCACCAGTGGCCCGCTGATACCATGTGAGGATATCCTGGATGAACTGGACTCTGATGATGCCCATACTCCATACGAAATCCTGAGTCCAGGATCGCACGGCAGGAGGAAGATGGACACCACAGAGACCGATCATGGCCTGGGCCTGGAAGTATCCATAAAGCGACAGCGTGCTGGAAGCCACGTGGGAGGCAGCGTTAGCGTATCCGAGACCCGACAGCAGGGCAGAGGACATGATGCCCAGGAAGACAACAGCCCAGGTGGCCCATTTGACACCGATCAGATCAACTACAAGCCGCCGAGTCAGCACTTTTCCCTGCATATTATAGGGGCAACCCTAAATAACCTACCAGTCATGCCGTTGGAGACATTGGCCTCGAGACAGGCAACAGTCTCTCCAGCCATCTCTCCGCCCGTCATGTTGACAAAGACCTTAACCGTGGCATCCAAATCGGGGAAAGTGTAGGCGATTCCTGGAATTTTGTCCTTGACATCGGGGCCGAGATCCAGCTTGAAGGGATTGCTCATCTTGCCCGCGTTCATGGGGCACAAACCAGCCAGACTCAGTGATTCGTCGCCGAGATTGCACGGGTCAAGAACCTCGTGCATGATTTGGTAGCCGTAAGCCAAGATGCGGATGTCGAAGACAACGTAGCCCTGAATAGACGAGGTGGCGAGCATGTTGATGTTGACGGTTCCATTGTCGGGAAAGAACACGACGTCGAAGAGACTGGCTGTGAAGCCAGAGTTTTCCTGGCATGCCGCGAGCGAGTTTGATTGTAGGACTCTGTCGCGGGCGAAGGAGGGGGCGACCAGTGTCGCGAGTGATGCGAGGACCGCAAGCGGTCGTGCTGACCAAAGCTTCATGTTGTCGGATTTGTCGTTCTCTAATCCGTTTAAAAGTTTCCCAAATTCCCAAACACAAAATTAAGGTTGATAGTTGACGATCCAAGTCCAAGTAGTCGTTAATTGTTTGTTTCGTTGTTTTCACAAATCCAACATTATCGTACTGAGCCACTCCAACTCGTAATCGGGAACTCGGGAGGATCGCGACTGGTGGGCAATCAAGGATGCACAAATGACAGCGGGTATCGTATTAAGCTGATGTGAAATTGGTGAACGTATTTATCGGTATCGGATCGTGTCTGGCGATTGAAAGCGACACACGAAATGGGGATTTGTCGTCGGGGTTTGCGTGGTGGTGAAGAGGCTCCTCGGAGGATTGTTATTGGTAATACGGAGCGACAGGAGGGATGAGGAGAGCGAGTGACGAGAGATGAGAGAAACGACGAGTTGGCGGGGAGAGGCAGGAAATCAAGTTTTGTTGGTATCGAACTAGTAGCGAGTGAAATCTGCCAACAATCGACGGAACGGAAAAGGCACGGTGTGTTGGTGCTGTTGACCCCCTTTCGACGACGAGAACACTGTCGATGGTGTTTTTTTCCCGATGTTTGTGTGTTGTTTTGGTAAAAGGGACAAACTCGAGAAGCGAAGGTGCTCGCGATGGACTCGGTTGTTGCGATGTGGATTCCTGGAAGTTGAATGCAGTGAACAACCGTGGAGACGGGAAGTGAGAGCAACTGCGGTCCTGGAAACGGCGGGTGGGACAGTGGACAGTGCAGTTGGGCAGCGCAGTGAGCAACAGCGGGTTCCATGGATCACCGTTGAGTTGGGTGGCCCGGGCAGGAGTGGTCTTGGACTCTTGAGAGGCTGGCCGGAATCCGGATGCGTTGCTTTTGCGTGAGGAGATTCTGCATTGGCAGCTGAATCAGCAATGCTGCCAAGTGCCAAGCTCTCTTTGAGCCAGTTCTGTTGCTCCACTTGGCACCCGACCCGGTCATTTTGTCTGTTTTTTTTAATATTCTGTTCCCAGCAATGCGGCCTTGGTTTTTGTCTGATACGAGTGAACGATGCCACAGTCAGCGTTGTTTTTCCGAGCTTATTTCTCACGTCTCCTCACACTGGAATGCTTCGGCATGCCCCAAAGATGTCACACTATCGGTCACATACAAGTGCACTACACAAAAACTGATACGGGAAACGGCATTATTGGAAATCGTGGCTGTGCTATCGTGAGCTTTTCACCTGCAATGAAATGAATGGGCAACTTTGACATTGGCAGCCGGTCCTCAGGGTCTTGGCATTGGAAATCTGCAAGTGGATGAGATCACACAGTGGGTTCCAGGGCCTTGGTGGATTCGGTAAATCCACTCAATGCACGCGGCGGTCTTTGCGGTTGGCCAACCAGACGCGGGGGGCACAGACAGATCTGCCCGAAAAGGGGAAAGCGTGCTGAGGGCGATCCCGATGACGAACTCAGGGGCGCCATTTCACTCCGGAAGTCTTGAGGTTGTCAGTTGATCGCGTCGCCGCCCGCTGTCTCGACTCGTCCATTTTCTTTTGTTTCCTTCTTGCCACAAGCAGGTACAGACAGTTGGAACATTTCTGTGTTGCAAGCCGATCGTCCACCATCTTATCGCTGGTATTGGAACTTTACAATTCCGATCAAGACAAATCATCTCAAAGCCAACATCGCGGAACAACACCACATGTGAAGCTGGTCACTTTCACGGTCCGGAGCCTTTTTACCGAATAAGACCACGGTTGCCTACTGCGCCTTTACCACCAACACGAGGTTCGTGCTTATGCTCAGCCAGCCAACATGTTGGAAACGCCTTGCAGGTACAAACTTCACTTGAATCGCATTCAAAACACCGCCGGAAAATAAGTGCCATTCGTCAATCACAAAACACTTCGAGGCAAGCGAGGTGAACTTGACGAACTTAAGTCGACATACCATCCTCAATTCTAATCATTTAATATCTTCTACTATCCTTCCCAATATTCCAAACCAGAGTTACCCCATCTTTACAGGTTCAAGTCTTCCTCATCCTCACTGCATCTTACACATGCGCCGCTGGTGGTTTGTTAGCACCATCTGCCCACGCGAACATAAAGTCGCATCGGCTGCCGTGAGATGCTGATGCATCACAGGCTACAGGCACCAACAGCCCTATAATCCACCCCACTATCCACGACCTCAATCCCTTCCTCATCCCTCGGCCAGCTTTCCCAGCGCGATAACAGTCTGCCATCCTCATCTGCCCTTTCCCAGAGTTTGATTCCCATCCCATCCGCGACACAGCTCCCTCCCGCTCACTGCATAGCCCGCCCGGCTTACCCGTACAAGTGTGCTACGTCGGAAGGCAGATAGGCAGACAGGCGGGAGCCAAGCATCAGCGTGACAGCTGTGTGTCTCGTGTCTCGTGTCTCGTGTGTGTCGCATTTCCTCCCGTCGAAAAATCGATGGTGTAACAGATGGAGGGCGCTGACACAGATACTGGATTTCCTCCTCTTGTTCCCCGCATCCTGCTTGAGTGTGGCAGGGCATCGAAACCGCTGACCCAGCTCTCTGTTCGGTCCCGTTGTGTCGGTCTAGGTCCGGACTCGATTTCCGTCTCTTGAATTGCCCCGCTTTTGACCACTGTAGAACCTAACCCCAGGCCTCCAAATCTGGTCTCGTTTGAAGCCTCGTCATAATAGTGATGGTAAGGCGTCGACTATGCCAGTCGCATATCATCTTCCTCGAAATATCCATCCTCAACCCTGACCAACAGTAGCATCCTGTCTCCTCAGCGTCGGAATCGAAGACATCATGCTGCGTCTGGAAGAAGTTGAGCCCATCGATCGCTGAGATTCCATCATGCTGCCGGTGCTGGACTGAGAAATCGTCGCGTACTCCTCGTTGGGCGGGGTAAGCAGACGGTGATAGGAAGGCGGGTAGGGCATCCTGTGCAGGTGGCCGCGGGGATGGGCGTAGCGGCGACTGTTTATATTGAAACTGGCGTCGCTTTGTTGGCTGTAGCTGGGTTGGCTTTGACTTTGACTTTGACTACCCTGGCTTTGCTCTTGTTGCTGCATGATCTTGATGTCGGTGGGGTCGCGGTATAGCATGCTTAGAGGTATTGAGTGTTGTTGTAGCGGGTTGTGGGTTTGTGAGTGTTCTTGCTGAGAAAGTGAGAAAGTGAGGTGGCGCTGATCTGCGGGTTGCAAAATGAGAATGTTCGAAGGGTCAAGGTAAGGTTATCGCTTGAGATCGTAGTCCATAGTTGTTTCTTTAAGAGCTATGTAAAACGGACAAGAGAAGCGATATGCGACGGCACCTCACTTATAAACAAAAGCGCCCTAAACAGAGAAAGCTGAAATTTGGGACGGAGTACAATGAGAATGTCCGTCCCAAAGTGGCGATCGCCATGACGCCCTCTCCAGGCGGCGGTTGCGGTTGGTGGTCGTACCCCTACACCACCACCAGAAACAGAACCACTCGGGCATTGTGTGCCCAGACCTTGTTAGGCCCAGGCCGCCAACGGCACCAGCTGATTTGGTGCGGCGGTACCTCTAGGCGGTAGGCGGAGCGATGAAATTCCATTTCCCCTTGGGACACCACTCAGCGCTCCATGGCTTTGTTACAGACGGGACATCCTAATTCGGAGACAACAACCAATTGTTTGATAGGGCGAGAATACCCGAAGTTGTGTGGCAAATCGGGGACTACGGGGCTCGCGGGGAGTTTGTGGAGAGTTGTGCCATGAGATAGAAGCCCTGGGACTTCATGCGACACATCTGATGGAAGGGGATTGTTCTTGTCGAGGGTTGTGCCGTTCGGGGTCGTTATGCGCTGGCACCTCACCTCACCACTAACACCACTCACCAGTTGGTCACCAGGCCTTACATCGGATGAGCCATCACAAGGCCACACAGGACCACACAAGACCTCAAGGTGGAAAGAAGATTGGAGATCCGCGGCTTGTGAGGTTGTGAGGTTAGAGACATTCATCCATCCATCCCATCCCATCCCATCCCATTCTATCCCGTCCATTCGGATAAACCGTCGCGAACTGCCCACGAAGAGAAGACAAGGCCGCTTCCAGAACGTCAAGAACACAACACTTCGCGACACTACGCAGCCCAAAAATGTCCATATGATTTCATTCTGGTCTCAACTGGCCACCATCGGCTTGTCGCAAACAACCGCTTGAGTTCTGGTTGTGAAGGCGAGGAATCGCAAAGAAGGTGTAAGGGCAATATTCTTCAGCGCTAACAATTGGAGGCCTTACACCAGGTGATTGGTGGGGATTGCAGCCTAATGTGTACCGGGTCTCGCGGGTTTGAGCCGGGATCTTGGGACAGAAAGATGCCCATGTGGAAATGTGATTTAGGCTTCTTCGACGAGCCAAGCCCCATATCTTCAGTACCTGGCATTAGAGATACCTACTGCGGTAATGCGGTAAGACTGGACATGCCGTTCATGCCTGGCTTGGATCGGATGGCAGGTGAATCATGAACGTCGAGGTGAACCAAACCTGGGTCAGAAATGATACCCAACCCATACTCACGACCATTTGGGGCCGGCCCAGGCAGTCCGTGGCACAGCACAGCCCTGTCTGCCTAGGCCGAGCCTTCAAGGTTGAATTATGATGTAGTATGGTCTTCATCTGGAATCATCATGACTATCAGATGTTCAGAGTTGGGCATCGGAGAAGCATCATCATCGTGATGTTGGATGTAATGAGGTTTAATTAGGCCGCTGAGCCGAGTCATGATCTTTGTATCGAATTTGTTGAGGACTTGAGGGAGATGGTTATCCAGGGGTATGAGTTTGGAAGTTGTACAACTGCGCCTGAGGTCAGCTTGTAGTGAGTCAAACGCTACACTTACAGTGACGAGATGAAGTTGAGAGTCCGTCGAGTTGATCTCGATCTCGGGAAGGGGATTTGATTTGGGTGGTCCGTTGTTCGCCTCAACTGGTAGTGAGATAGACAATGGCGCAGTTGATGGGTTGGGCTCGACATTTAGTGGGAGTAGATGGAGTAGGAAACGAGACGGGTATGAAAATCCATGAGGGCTTGGTTGGGTCCTTTCATGTGACCGCGCCGTTGACCTCTGTGTTCCCGCCGGCGCCGGTAGCTCTTTCCCCGGGACCAGGAGACAATCCTGATCATTCCTACCCTCGAAACAGAGTCGCTCCGAATCTCGGATCCACACGGCCACCTGACTAATACCTTCACTCACGGTCGAGCCCAGTCGTTCGGTAGACATATCCAGTTTGCGGTTCTGCTTTCAAAGTGGCAATATCCTCAAAGTGGAAAGCCGGTCGATGTTGACAACAAGACCAAAAAAAGTGTAATGAACAGAAAAAGGGGACCATTAACCCCTGGAAATTGCGCCTAATCTCTCCGATTACAGTGGGTTCAAGCACTCTCCACAGCGAGCAGGGCTGCCACGTGGCGAGCGGGACGGCCACAAGTAGTGGAGTCTTTTGCTCAACCACAAGCTGTCAAATCGTCATTTCCTCAAACTCACTGAAGCCAGATTTGTCCCATCTCATTTGTTCAGTTCCAACTCATGATGCCCCTGAATTGAGGCTCTTCAACATCCCCTCACGAACCTGTTACGGTACACTTCCGAAGGCACGACACAATGGCCGACCTCAAAGAACCGCCACCATCAACAACACCACCTAAATCCTCAACCATCACCACCGAAAATGCACCACCACCACCACCACCACCACCACCAACCACCACCACCACGCGCGCCCTCCGCGGCGCATCCCTCCTCATCCTCCTCCAAATCCTCTCCCGCGCCCTAACCTTCATCGCCAACCAAATTCTCCTCCGCTTCCTAACCGCCTCCCTTCTCGGCGTCTCCACGCAATTAGAAGTCTACTACCTCTCCGTCATCTTCTTCGCTCGCGAATCGTTGAGGGTGGCCATTCAAAGACAAGATACCACTGCTTTATCCGCATCTCTTTCCGGGACCGCCAAAGATGCCGGTGGCCCGGCCAATACTGCCGTGGCCACTCAGGCACTAATAAATCTTTCGCACTTAACCACGCTGCTCTCTCTCCCTTTGTCCGTTGCGTTCGGGCATTTGTACCTGACTTCCCTCTCCCCTGCCACGCTGGCTACAACGCCGTACTTGGCTCCCAGCCTCTATATCTACGGCCTTGCTGCCATTTTGGAATTGCTGTCGGAGCCATGCTTCGCGGTGATGCAAATCCGGATGCAATTCGGCACCAGAGCAGCGGCCGAGAGCGTGGCGACTTTTCTGAGATGTTTCGTGACGCTGGGGATAGCGGTCTGGGGAGCGAAGATGGGGAAGGAGATGGGGACGTTGCCGTTTGCGATGGGGCAGGTTACTTATGCGGTGGGATTGTTGGGGGTTTATTTGGTGAAGGGGTGGGGGTTGGCTGCTAGGGAAGGGTTCTTTTTGCTACCGAAGAGGATGGTTACTGCTTCAAGGGAAGATGGTGGAAGTGATGGGGGTGGGAAAGACGAGAAGAGGATGGAGGTTGAAGTTGGGAACGGAAAGAGAGCAGCAAAAGATTTTGTGATGGGATACTTCTACCGCCCCACGCTCGACCTCGCCTCCAGCATGATGGCGCAAAGTGTCGTCAAGCACATCCTCACGCAGGGCGACACTTTTCTCGTCAGCATCTTGTCGACGCCCACGGCGCAGGGGGTTTACGCTTTGGCGAACAATTATGGCGGATTACTTGCGAGACTGGTTTTCCAGCCGGTGGAGGAGAGTAGTAGGACTTATTTTAGTCGGTTGTTGGCTGATTCTAGCTCCGCTGACGGTTCTAGCCCTACCACCTCTTCCCCATCTACCTCCTCTCCCAAGGCTTCCACTTCCCCTACCACCCCTTCTTCGTCTACAAAGTCCTCCACCAAGAAAATCTCCCAGTCAGCCCTATCCCAGGCCTCAACCTCCCTCCTCACCCTTCTGCGTTCTTACATCCTCCTCTCCCTACCCCTCCTAGTCTTCGGTCCACCCGCTTCCTCTCCCCTCCTAACCCTCGTCGCCGGCCGTCGCTGGTCTGTCCCTTCCACCAGCAGCAGCACCACCACAGACTCAGCACCCGCCACATTGGCTTTATACATGTATTACATCCCCCTCCTAGCCCTAAACGGGATTCTCGAAGCTTTTGTTTCCAGCGTGGCTTCCGAAAAGCAAGTTCATCGGCAATCGTTGTTCATGACGGGCTTTTCGATAGTCTTTGCTGGGACGGGATACTTGACGCTGAAGGTTTGGGGGTTGGGTGCTAGGGGGTTGGTGGTTGCGAATGCGGTGAATATGGGGCTGAGGATTTTGTGGTGTTGGGGGTTTATTGGGGGGTGGTTTGCTGAACGGGTTGGGAAGACTGGTGAAAAGGATGGTGGAAACAAAGATGGTGGAAACAAGGATGGGGGAAAAGTGAGGGTTGGAGTATTGGAGGTTCTGCCAAAGCCGGGTGCGGTAGCGGCTGCTGTTGTTGCTAGGAGTGTTGTTTCGCGGGTTGTTAGAACAAGTCAGGAGGTGATAGGTGCGAAGGAGGCGATTTGGGAGTTATTCAAGAGATTGCCGGGTGGCGGTGCCTTTTGTTGTTGCTGTGTGAGTATTCTTCCCTTCTTCTTTTTCCCTCTCCTTTGCCGTTACCTGATTTGGTTAGGGCAAAATCCGCATGCTTTTATCTTGGCCATAAAACAGTTTATTCACACTTGAAAGGGGATAGGCTAACATGACGACAAACAGTGCCATCGCCGAAAGAGAATTCTTGCTGAGCGGGTATCGCGCTCTTCAGGGTAAGAGACAACAACAGTTATAAAGGTTCTAAAGACACCAATACACTCAGTAGACAAATAGACGACCCATGGACAGATAGACACAGAAAAAGCCGCCCAAATGAAAATTTCAATTGCCCGAACAAAGTTAACAGAAATGAAATGAATTTGGCTCCAATGTCTTCCAAAATTGTGGTATCTACATAACAACCTCTCTACTACAGATTTTTTTAATCGAAAGTAATCTTGGTGGCCTTCTTGTTAGGATCAATGTCCTTGTAGAAAGAGCCATAGGCGTCGTGGGCCTTCTTCTTGACGGTGGTGCCGAACTTGAGAAGTTCCTCGGGAACGGGCTGCTTGGCGGCTCTGAGGATGTTGACGAGGCTGTTTGTCACGAATGGTTAGCATGGGGATGCTGTAAGAAGAAAAGAAAGGAGAGGAGGCTTACGATCCAGAGTGGGCCTTGTCGTGCTCGGTGAAAAGAGTGATGGCCTTGCCCAACTTGCCGGCACGGCCGGTACGACCGATACGGTGAACGTAGTCCTCGATGGTCAAGGGGAACTATTTTTTCATTCAGTTAGCACTTGGTCATCGAACAGTAAACTGGGTGGTAAACTCACAGTAACGTTAACAACAAGCTTAACCTCAGGAATATCCAAGCCACGAGCAGCGACATCCGTAGCGACCAAAACGGAAGTAGATCCCGACTTGAACGCCTCCAAACTGCGGGTGCGCTGATCCTGCCTGAGGTCACCGTGAATGCTAGCAACCTTCATGCCCTTGCGGGTCAGGAACTGCTCAACACGAACGGCCTCCTTCTTGTACAAGCAAAACACCAATATCCTGTCATCCTTCTGGCTGCCCTTCTGCGCCTCCTTGAGGATCTCGTACAGGCGGAACTCCTTGCCGCGGGGATCGACGACCTCGACCTTCTGCTCGATGCGGCTATTGGCCTGCAACTCAATGTTGCCGTTGCCCTCACCGTCGCCGCCAGCGCGCGTCCGGTGGCCGATGGTCACCTGCGCCGGGTTGATCATGTAGCTCTCGGCGAGCTTCTGGATGTCCAGCGGCCAGGTGGCGGTGAACATGAGCGTCTGGCGCTTCTCCCTGGGCGGGCACTCGGATAGGATCATCTTGATGTCCTCGGAGAAACCGCGGTCGAGCATGCGATCGGCCTCGTCGAGGACGGCGAAGCTGACGTTGGCGAGCGAGATGGAGCCCTCGCTCAGGAAATCCTTGAGACGACCGGGGGTGGCGGTGATGATGTCGACGCCGTTGTTCTTGTACAGTAGGTTGCGCTGCTCGTTCTTGTCGGAACCACCAAAGATGCACACGGCCGAGAGACCGACCAGGGAGGCAAGTCCGGAGAGGGCGGCGTGGGTCTGCATGGCGAGTTCGCGGGTGGGCGAGACGATGACGGCGCGGGGGTGGGCGGTGCGGTCGCGGCTGTTGAACTTGGGCTTGGGGCGCGAGGCCAGGGACTCGACGCAGGGCAGGGAGAAGGCCATGGTCTTGCCGGAACCGGTCTCGGCGATGCCAATGACGTCGCGGCCGGACAGCGAGAAGGGCCAGGAAGCGGCCTGGATGGGAGTCGGGGTCGTATAGGCGGCGAAGGGGTTCTTGGAGAGGAGGTTGGAGTGAGGAAGCTGCTTGAAGTTCATGATGGGGCGGAGGTTGCTGGAGGAGGGGTCCTTGATGACAATCTCCTTCTCCTTGAGGAAGGTCTCGATCTCGGACTCGGGGAGAGCGCTGAGGGCGTCGACCTGCTTGTAGGTGTAGACGCCGTTAGGAGAGGCAGCGGCGGCGGGAGTGGAGGTGCCATTGGTGGTTGTTTTGGAAGCGCTGGTTGACTCCTCGGTGGTGGACTCCTCAGACTTCTTGGACTTCTTCTCCTTATCCTTTTCTCCTTCTTGTCCTTCTTTTCCTTCTTCTCCTTCTTGTCGGCTACGGGCTCGGCAGCGGCATCGGGCATGGAGACATCCTCGGTGGACTCGGTGGCTGGTGTTTCGGACTCCTCCTTCTTCTCCTTCTTGGACTTCTTGTCCTTCTTCTCCTTCTTGTCCTTCTTATCCTTCTTTTCCTTCTTCACCTCGCCGTCGACGGGGGTCTCGTCGGTGGTCTTGACCTTCTTGGCGAGACGGGCATCCTTCTCCTCGCCCTCGCTGCGGGAGTGCTTCTTGGTGGAAGACATGGTGGTAGAATTGATATCGCACTCTCGCACAGAAAGCGATTGGCGATAGATGATGGATGGGCGATTGTCGGAAATCAACAATTCGCTACAGTCCAGGATCAAGAGAAGGAAGGGTCCGAGGGACGGGAAGGCCAAAAGGGTGCCGCTCTGTTATCGCCAATCCTGCGACACGGCTGGGAAATTTTCCTTATCGATAAGCTTTGTCAGTGGAAAGACCCTTGTAACTGCATCTGTACCTGGTCCTCGTCTGAACCCCACGGCTCCACCAGACAGCGTCAGCGCCTGTGAACGTGACCGTACCGTACAGTAACATGAAATTTTGGCGATCAATCGGACGTGGTTCAACTGTTCATTAATTGTTCAGAACAATCCTCGATTTTGTGAGATGGAAGGACTTGAAATGTTCATTCGATTATTGAACAGTCCTTTGGTTGATCAAGAGCTTTGCACAACTGGAGCTCAAGAGTTGGACTGGTTGGCTGACAGGGCTCTTTCTCATCCTCATCTGGTACGGGACGCGGAAATGTAAGATATCGTCATGCTTGCTTTGCACTTACACATCACCCCTGGTAAGTTTCGTTAGCGTACGACTGCACAACGTGATTTTCGCAACTCAACTAAAATTCCAACAATTTTTCATGCAAAAAATTGGTATCAACCCAATGCGTTTTTCCAGCTTCATACCCTCTCTCCAATTTTCTGTTTTCGATGTGCTTGTCCTGTTGTTTTGTCGTAAAGTTTTGCATACCCCTGTCACGAGAACTGCGCTAACAACCTTTCAAGGGGTGATGTGTATACCCCCAAGACAATCACATCGATAACTTCCTCTTATCAACATCATTTCCACGATACATACAATTCTAGACACACAAGTTCTGACTCAAAATAAATATTCCTTTTCCTGGCCTACCTTCCCAACAACTCTCGTCCCTCCAATCTCCTCGTATTCCCCTTCACTATCAACTTCGCTGCTCTTCCGTCTGCAACACCAAATCCACCCCGTCTTTCCCATCATCACTCCCACTCCTCCACGCCGACCACACTCCATTCTTCCCTTCATCTTGATCCCTATTGTATTTTTAATATTTATCCTCATTCAGCCTCCCATTCCCAATAAATCTACTCAAAACTCAAGGCATAATCTCATTCAACTGCTAGTAACCCTTCTACGGACGGGCACCTTGAAATATCTAGTGGTACTCGCGAGGCCGGAAATTCCTTGGATTGGTCATATGGTGGTATCGTCACATTCCAGTCATTTTCTCCAAGGGGACGTCCAGGTTATCGACACATGGTCTATATGAATGACGAATAGTCCTCTTGAGACCATCGAGCGAAGCACTACAACAATGAACCTCGATGGGACATGGAGATCTCGGACTCTGGTACTTGCATTGTCTGGATTTCCCATCGGAAACCAGTGACGCCTTCCTTTATTTCAGGTTGAACTTGCTAGTCGCTAGCCATCACCAGTATTTCAAGCTGGTCCACAACTCGTCAACTTTCTTACAAGAACACCTCGCAATCTCAGCGAGAATATGGAATAGTGTATCCCAACCATCCTTTGCAAACCATCCTCAAGAGCTCACACTCCGGCATCTCACCATAACAGCCACCAAGCATCATCCTCACTTCTCACCTCCCGCCGGTCTCAAACAATCACAACCACAACCTCTCCCCCAGTACACCCAAGCCCACACCCTCAACGACACTTACACCAGCCTTCACCTCCCCGCGGTTTCCGTTACCTAGTGCAGTGGCAGACATGCCCGGTAGGCGCGTAACTAGAACAAAAAGAACATCGTCGAGCTTTCGTAGGGTAGGGTATGCAGGCAGCTTTGGTGGACGGCGGGGGTTCGACCCTGGGTGCTCATGGGCCACTGAAGCTTCCTTTGTCCTTTTTACCTTGAGAGGTATCTATTGCACCGAGATTACCTTCTTTCGTTCAGTCGCAGCATTTTCTGCTTCTGGATCCTGTCATTACGTTTGTTTCTTCCTTCTCTTTCACATCCCGTCTTCCTTTACCCTGTTCTCGTCCTGAACGCCCTTTCTTTTTAACATATATGGCAGTGTCTAGCTACCTTTTGTATTACTTTTACCATCACCGGGGAAAGACAAAAAAATAGAGGATGGCTACCAACATGGCTTAAATGAAGAACCAAAGGAACCACAAAGAGAGTAGAAAGCTATGAAAAACATACAACACCTGGGATTCGCTGGTGGTCACCGACTCAGCTACTAGTTAGGCGATATGTCTGCATGTCTATGGGAGTGGGAAGGACATGAAACGGGTCTTTTAATCACGTGGTAGGGTCAAAAAACTGAACATCCACCTCCCATTCCATATCGTTCTGACGGAGGCATCACGGTGAGTGGGGAGGCGGCGCTAAAAAGATGAATATAGTTGGGCAAATTATGAAAAAAAAGTCGACCGTCCCGACATTGCGGCTAGATTTTTTACACGGGTAACAACAAGATCGCACTCGGTCAGAAGACCATTCCTGATTGGTTCCTAGTACTTCTCGGCCCAGTTATGTGTATGTAGATGAGAGCGTGGCAAGCGAATCTCTCGCCCTTGTCTTACTGAATCACGATTTGGTGATCCACTACGACAAATTGATCACGATGAACCTCCTTCATCTACCTGCCTTAACCTACCTTCTTCATCTTCCTGCATTAGCCTACCTCTTCCATTCCATCCTGGCATGTCATAACCATGGTGGTTGGCTTGCAACACACTGCCGGCGCAGCCGCCAACAACTTTGTAGACAGGTCCATTTGCTGAGAGAGCTGCATGCCAGGGCTGCGAAACAAGGTGACGGTGGCGTTGAGAGCGGCAAGGCAACCACAGCTCTAGGATCAGAAGCCGGAAGCTAAGGTGGGATGGCTTTAAGCCTGGGTTGGGCTGGGGACGATGGCCTGAAAATGAAGCCTCATCGATTGACAACTGTCGAGGTGTTTGGTCAATTGAGTGCCCACCCGCCAACCGCCTGAACTTGGGACATGATCAAACCAAACCGCAGACCAGATTACCACAGTGAGGCCGGGTTCCATTGCCGCGTATTTTGGAGCTGACCTTTTCTCCAGAGCGGGAAGGCGAAGACAAGTGGAATGGTTTGAGGTT